GGCCAAACGAGAGGCAATTGTTGTTGCATCATTTTAAATACTTCTCCAAATTCTGAATTTTCACCTGTACAGATAACTATTTTTTTCTTTCTGATAAAATGTATGATTTTATATTTCTTTACCTTCTCAGATGAATGAATAATTCAAAATTTTCTGTACTGATTTTTATTTATTTCAAGGAAATCAAGTTTGAATACAATACAAGATCAAGAAGACAATCAACTGGATCCATCACAATTGATACGTTCATCATCGTCAATCAAACTACTTGTAACGGACGAAGACGAGAGAAAAGAGACAACATCAACGATAACATCCTTGTCACCATCTTTAAAAACAATGATGACATTTTTAAATTCTGATGCTGCTACTCGTGTAACGTCAAGTGAAATAATAAAAATTCTACAATCAGATATTAAATATGGTTTAACCGAACAAGAAGTACTTAATAGACGAAAATTATATGGTTATAATGATTTTGAAGTGGAGAATGATGAACCATTATGGAAAAAATATTTATGTCAATTTAAAGAACCGATGATATTATTATTATTAGCATCTGCTTTAATTAGTGTTATTATGAGACAGTATGATGATGCTATATCTATAACAGTTGCAATATGTATCGTTGTAACTGTTGCATTTATTCAAGAATATCGTTCAGAAAAAGAAATTGAAGCACTCAGAAAACTTGTACCACCAAAATGTATATGTATTCGAGAAGGAAAAACACTTCATATGTATGCAAGAGATTTAGTACCGGGTGATATGTGTATATTGGATATTGGCGATCGTATACCAGGTTCGCTTTCTTAGCTAAATTAAATCTTATTACTAACGTTGAATATTTTTTTAGCCGATTTACGTCTGACTGAAGCTGTCGATTTTGCCGTGGACGAGTCGAGTTTCACCGGTGAAGCAGAACCATCATTAAAATTTGTTGATCCAATTACGCCTGGTAATCGTATAACAGGAATTAGTGATAGAAAGAATATTGCTTTCATGGGCACACATGTACGAAGTGGACATTCAAAAGGCATAGTTATCTGTACAGGTGAAAATTCAGAATTTGGAGAAGTATTTAAAATGATGCAACAACAAGAGGTAAATAGTCTGTTTGATTAAATTCTTCCTCTTCAAATAATCTCAAATTTTATTTACCATCTCTCTTTTTAGGCACCTAAAACTCCGTTACAAAAAAGTATGGATGCACTTGGAAAACAATTGTCATTTTATTCATTAAGCATTATTGGATTTATTGTTATTGTTGGTTGGCTACAAGGACGACATTTACTTGAAATGTTTACAATTGGTGTTAGGTTTGTTTACTTTTTGAAGACAATTTGATAAGAATATTTGATTTATTGGTCTATTATTTCATTTAGTCTTGCGGTTGCTGCAATTCCCGAAGGACTTCCAATTGTTGTTACAGTTACATTGGCATTAGGTGTTCAAAGAATGGCCAAACGAGAGGCAATTGTTAAAAAACTACCAATTGTTGAAACTTTGGGTAAATATTGAAACTGATGTATTTATCAATTTAAACATCAAAACATTTACTGAGTAATGCTCTCGTTGATGACATGTAATAACACGGTTGACCCTTTTTTTCACTATTACCATCACCTTAATTATGTTAGAGTGTTTCCTCAACTGTAAATTAGTCTGGATGCATGCTTTTAGGTCAACTGTATCTTTCGCTAGATACTGAGATACTCAACTCCATTGGGTCTGTTGTGCTTTACTCTGGCTATTTTTAATATTTTTTTCAAAAAAGTTATAGCGGACAAATAGAAGTAAAACATCCATAATAAAAAATAGTTCTGCTGTGTCCTTAAAATTATTTTCGACACTTGATTGCTATGTCAACTTCACTATACACACCTCAATTATTCATGTATTGTCTCTTTAGTCTGTTGTTGTTTTTTCTCATTTCAGTGCGGATTAAAATAGTTGAGCTTTTAATAATTGAAGAGTAAGGAGGCAGAGATTCTCTCACTTGCATGTTTTTATTTGAATTGAATCAAATTTTACTATTAATTGATCTGCACTTCATTTGAAAATAAATCTATGAAAATTAGGGTGATTGTTTTGACTCTAACAGTATATTCCCGCATAGAATTTAGTATAAAAATTAATTTAAGTTATACTAATAATAAAAATACTGATGAGTGTGTAAATCTAGTATGATAACGTCTTTCAAATGTATCAGTCTATAAGCTAAAAATAATTCTTACTTATTTACACTTTAAATTTAGGATGTGTAACGATAATCTGTTCGGATAAGACTGGAACATTAACAAAGAATGAAATGACTGTGACACATATAATGACATCCGATGGACAAACTGCTGAAGTAAGATAAAAATTTATTGTATAAGTGAAATGACTTTTAGCTTTTCTTGTAGGTTACTGGTACAGGTTATAATAGTGAAGGAGATGTCATATGTGAGAATGAACGTGTTCGATATGAATCACATCCATCAATATCAAAAGTTATTGAGGTAATTTAATATCAATTTATCAAATAGATATTAAAAAAGATTTTTTTTTATTAGGTCGGTGCTGTATGCAATAATTCAGAAGTAATTAATTCACAATTACGTGGACAACCAACTGAAGGTGCTTTATTAACGGTTGCTATGAAGGTAATAAGCAAAATATTTCAATACAAAATAATCCATTGAATGATTTTTATTTTCATTCTTTAGATAAATCAAACACATCTCAGAGAACGGTTTAGTCGTGAACATGAATTACCATTTTCATCCGACCAAAAATGGATGGCAGTTAAATGTGTATCAAAATTTAATCCTGTAAGCTCTCAAATAACTAGAAAAGAAAATATGCAAAATTCTTCCAATTTTTTCTACTAATATTTCTAGCTTGATAGGTTTTTTTTTATAACATACTCTATTTTTTTTAATATTCGTTTCTTACACGAACATAAGTTACTTTATGCACAATAAGGTTGGCCGGTCAAAGACAAAATTAAGAAAAGTCCTAAAACTAGTTGATTATCCAACAAACAGATAGAAGTTTTCTGACAATTGTTGTTAGCTATTGCTAAAAATATCGTTTATGACCTTATTTCTGAATAGAAAATAGATGAGATCAGCAAACTATTAGTGTTCAATCACACTAGTTTTCAACAAGATAATAATTACGAGAAAAATATCCACTGAACGACAAATAAAATGAGACTACTATTAAATGTCAACATGTTATTTATTTTTTGTGCTTTATCGTGCAGTAGTATTCTTTATGACTTAGTAAATATCTTAACGGTGTTATTTATTTTGTTTTAGACCGATGTTCAGTTCTTTCTCAAAGGTGCTATCGAAAATGTGTTAAGTCAATGTAAACGGTATTCATTTCATGGTACACCAACTGCATTGACTGAAGAAAAAATTAAAGAATTTCTTGTTGATTCTAATCAGTTTTCTGCAAAGGGTTTAAGAGGTAAAAGCTTGGCTTGCTCTTACTTTACCAAAAAGATAGCAGACTTTCATCTTTTTAGTTATTGCAATGGCGTCTGGTGTATCCTTTGAAGACATGATGTATGTTGGTCTGGTCGGAATAATCGATCCTGAACGACCGTTAGTCGAAAAAGCTGTTGATCAGTTGCAGCAGGGTGGTGTGAGTGTGAAAATGATTACGGGTGATGCTGAAAAAACAGCAAAGGCAATCGGTATTGTTAATTTTCTTTTGCAAAACCAATTTAATTATCCCTTTTTTCCTTTTATAGCGACTCGATTACACATTTATCATACGGGCGACCTGTCCATATCTGGTGAAGATTTAGATCGTATGAATACACAAGATTTAGAAAATATTGTAACAAAGGCAAGCGTATTCTATCGAGTCAGTCCGAAACATAAATTGAAAATTGTCAAGGTACGTCCGATTCAGTTATTATCACAGAAATTTGACTAAAATATCGTCTTTTTTAGGCGTTACAAAGTCAAGGACATATTGTGGGCATGACTGGTGATGGAGTAAATGATGCGGTAGCATTGAAAGCAGCTGATATTGGTATAGCTATGGGACAGACGGGAACTGATGTTTGTAAAGAAGCAGCCGATATGATACTTGTTAAAGATGATTTTTATACAATTATGTAAGTTTCGAAGTTAGTTGGATCATTATTTTTAAGCAAGTATACATAATTGTAGGGCAGCAATCGAAGAAGGAAAAGGAATATTTTATAATATTCGTAATTTTGTGCGATTTCAACTAAGCACGTATGTATCTTATTTTCAACGTTTTTCCATATTTTATTCTCTCATTCGTTATTTTTAAGGAGTATTGCAGCCTTGAGTTTGATTACACTTTCAACAGTATTCCATTTTCCGAATCCACTCAATGCTATGCAAATATTATGGATTAATATCATCATGGATAGATCACCAGCACAAAGGTATATTTTAAAACTATTCCTATAACATC